TTTTGTATCAAGTTACAGGACATTTTCATGTTTGCACGCAGTCAGTACAAGAGTGAGAAAAAAATTCAGAGGATTGCCAGAAGCTATTTCTTCTTTATTTTTAATACTTATCTCTTCTTCTTTAGTTTAATTTTTTAAAGATTAATTAAAAATTTATTCGTCACTTGACTTCTTGATGAATTTCTTCTCGCCTTGGTAACTTTCACAAGAGAATGATTTAAAAATTATCCAATGAAAAATTCTACGCTGAATTTTTTTATTAGATTAATGTGTATTGTATTTCTTCTTGAATTTTATCTATATTATTTTTTAGTGAACTTTAGTGTCATTGAAAAGGTCTTGACTTGAATTTGTACCTTTTCAAGATTTTATTTCATTCTTACCGATAGTCAATTTATTATAATAAGTATTTAGGCTCTATTTCTAGATACATAATTAAGAAATGACCTTGTATTTTGTGAAATATTGACATTTTTAATGATATAAGCTCATCCCGGTGTTATACTCATCAAGACCTTTCACATGAGTACCCACATCAATTTTTCATATGTTTTATATATTTATATATATTATATACATGTATATATGAAAAATATATCAAAATACATGTGGGTACTCAAATGAAAGGTCTCAATGAGTGTAATGTCGGGGTGAGCTTATATCTTTAAAAATATGAATAATTAAAAAATGATCTTGTATTTGGTCAACTACTGACATTTTTAAAGATATAAGCTCATCTCGATGTTATACTCATCGAGACCTTTTATTTGAGTACCCACATCAATTTTTCATATATTTATATATATTACATATATGAATATATGAAAAATATATAAAAATACATGTGGGTACTCAAATGAAAGCTCTTAATAAGTATAAAATCGGAATGAGCTTATATCTTAAAAAATATCAATAATTAAGAAATGACCTTGTATTTGGTCAACTAATGACATTTTTAAAGATATAAGCCCATCTCGATGTTATACTCATCGAGACCTTTTATTTGAGTACCCACATCAATTTTTCAGATATTTTATATATTTATATATTTCACAAATACCATATATATAAAATATATAAAAATTGCCATGTGGGTACTCAAATGAAAGGTCTCAATGAGTGTAATGTCGGGGTGAGCTTATATCTTTAAAAATATGAATAATTAAAAAATGATCTTGTATTTGGTCAACTACTGACATTTTTAAAGATATAAGCTCACCTCGACCTTACACTCATCAAGACCTTTCATTTGAGTACCCACATCAATTTTTCAGATATTTTATATATTTATATATTTCACAAATACCATATATATAAAATATATAAAAAATACCATGTGGGTACTTAAATGAAAGGTCCCGATGAGTATAACATCGGGATGAGTTTATATCTTTAAAAATGTCAATAGTTCTCAAGATACAAGATTATTTCTTACTTATGTTAAATTGCACTGTACTTTCCTAATTATTGATATTTTTAAAGATATAAGCTCATCCTGATGTTACACTTATCAAGACGTTTCATTTGAGTACCCACATCAATTTTTTCATATATTTATATATTTATATATATGTATATATGAAAATATATGAAAAATTTATGTGGGTACTCAAATGAAAGCTCTTGATGAGTATAACATCGGGATGAGCTTATATTTTCAAAAACATCAATAATTAAAAAATGAGCTTGTATCTTGTAAACTACTGACATTTTTAAAGATATAAGCTCACCTCGACCTTACACTCATCAAGACCTTTCATTTGAGTACCTACATCGATTTTTCATATATTTTATATATTTATATATATTATATATGAAAAATATATCAAAAATGCATGTGGGTACTGAAATGAAAGCTCTTGATGAGT